GATGCAAGAGGAACTTTATACACATAAAATTCAGCGGTACAGAGCTCAACATATTTTATTGTACAAGTTTCTCAATCTGAAAGCCAAAAGACTGGAAGAAAAGCCTTAAAATCCTAGAAGATACACGCCGCCACGCCGTACCAGTCTTTTTCTTAGGGCTTAGGGTTTAGGGTTCAGGGTTGGTTTAGGGCTTAGGCTTTTTTAGGGTTTAGGCTATAGGGTTCACGGTTGGCTTAGGCCTTATGCCTAAGGGCTTAGAGTTTAGGGTTTAGGCTTCAGGATGGTTCAGGCGTGGTTTCAGGCTTAGGGTTTCGGGTTCTGGGTTAAGGGTTCAGGGTTTGCTGCAATGTTGCGTAGCGGCAGTGATTGTAAGACTCGTTAGGCGTTCTGTTGCTTGCGAATCGCAGCCGCAGCTTGACTGTTGGAGGGCCATATCACAACTCACCCACCCCACGTTGTCCAAGCGGCAAACCACCCAAACCTATACCTTTCAGGGTTTAGGACCTAAACTCAGTTTTGTCCATCGTGGTCATTAACATTTCTCAGTAACATAATTCATTACTTTGTCTCAAGAATTTCAAGGCTGGGTTTCTGGAATGGCTCGAGGGGCTTGAGGGTCGCGTGGCTAGGCCCGGCCCTGCAAAGCCCTGAGGCCGCAGGCCTTGAGAGACCCCAGGCTTGGGAGGCCCGGAGGCTTCTCTGGGAGGTGCGCGGGCTGTTTCGGAGGGGGCTGAAAAACCGCTATGCCACGAGTTTAGGATTCAGGGTTGGTCTAGGGCTTAGGGTTTAGGGGTCCCAGGTGTCGGGCTTGGGGTTTAGGGTTCAGGGGTTGGTTTAGAGTTCAGGGTTTATGGTTCAGGGTTTAGGGCTTAGGGTTCAGGGTTTGGGCTTACAGCTGGTTAGGGTTTAGGCTTTCGGGTTTGGGGTTCAGGGTGGGTTTAGGCTTTAGGGTTCAGGGTTGCTTTAGGGCTCAGGGTTTAGGGTTGTCTCCGGCTTCGCCATACAGGCTCTTGCGGAGGGCAGAGGAAGGGAGCCGTAGGATCGGCTGCAATGGGCGCTTGAGCAAAACAGGGTTTGCGTCTACGGTGCTGTTCCATTCTGGATTGTTCGGGACAATCTGTTACATCAATCAGTCCGGGACTGATCTTTCTTCATCTCATCCGAGCCAGGCGGCTCTAGATTCTTTCTCCGTTTCCATCCGGGAACGGTTGCTGCCAGTGGGGGCCTCAGACGGGTTCTCACTGGTAGCGGAGCCTGAAGCTTCGCTATCAAAGCGGAAAAGCGGTGAGTGCGTGTGACAAACCGGACATGCCGACGGAATCCGCGTGTCAGGAAGCTCGAGTTCTTGGCAGCGATGTGGCCCAAGGAACACTTGGCCCTTTTGGCGCCAAGGGCAGCCCTTCTATGTGAAGGGACCGCGTTCAAGAAAGTGGCTTTGTTGGGCCCCGACAAGCTCAAGACTCAAGATCTCTCTAGCGTTCAGCTCTTGGTGACAGCCTTGGGAGGTGCCTGGGGACAGACAGCTCTGGAAAAGTCCTATGCTAGCTTTGCGAAGGCGATCTATGGGACCATAGCTGAAGCCTGGATGAGGCAGTTCACACCTTATCTAGCCACAATGTGGCGGCTTGTGCCCATGGCGTGGATGCCTCTAAGAACTGGCTTTTCTGCTCCAATCATCCTGATGTGCAGCGCTTGGCTTCTATCTGTTCTCACCCGAAAGGCATGCGCCCGCCCGTGTCAGGGAAGCGATCTTCAGATGGCGCTTTCCTTACTCGCCTCACAGCTCTGTGTCCGCATTCCTTGGCTGACGCTATTGCGAAGATCTTCGGATCTGCAGTTTCAGTGGGGAAAGAGGAGATACCATTTGTGCACTGGGAGCGGCTTCTCCCTGCTCGTCTCCCTTTCTGTGTCCCCAAACGCAGGATTGAGGATGGTTGTGGTACGTGTAGTTCTGCCTGCTGGGTTGTGCCTCGTGAGCCAGACGACTTTGCTGGTCTGCGCCATGCTTGGTCAGACGCTCCTCGTACAACTGGACTTCTGCCGCAAATCCTTCAGCGACTCGGTGCCCCTGACAAAGCTGCCCCACTGTCGGATGCGGAGTTACAACCTTTTATGCGTGGCCTCAGACACTGGCTTGGGGTTCACTCGGATGCAGTCTGGAATAAATGCCTGGAGATCGCTCCAGGACAGCCTTTCAGGGAACAACTTGCTGCGGATTCTGGCCGAAATCTCCAACGATCCTGACTCCGCATTCACTGATCAGCTTGCAGCTGGGGTGTCGTTGGGGGTCCAGTGCCACCTTCAACCATGTGCCGTTATGGCCCCAGGCCTCCCGCCTGATGTCGACCCTCGTCCTCTGGAGTGCTGCGCGTCTGCGTGGCAGTCTGCTCTCTCCGACTTGCCTGCTGTGGACAACCTCATCCAAGAGGAGCTTCAGCAAGGTTGGATTAAGGAAGTCACTGGCGGGTTACCTGCGCTGCGTCAGCAATATAGCCTCTGTGCGCTGGGCAAATTAGGCCTGGTGCACGCCCCCGGCAGACCACCGCGTCTTCGTTGTGGACAGCTCTGTCTCTGCCGTCGCGGAGAACACTGTGCTCCCTAATCGGTCCTGTAACCCCACCTTGTCCCACCTGCGACGGTGTCTGCCTGTGGGCGCAGCACGTGAAGATTTCACTGGACTGCTCCTGGACGTGTCCAAGGCTCACCGCCGAATCAAAATTCTGACCCTGAACTTTGGAGCAAGGGCTTCCAGCTATTACTGGGCGCGCGCTGCTGGACTTCTCTGTCGTCTTCTGCGTCGTATCATCTACGTCAACCACGGCCTGATGATTTATGTAGATGACTTGCTCTGCCTGTTGCGCAAGTGCACATCCCCACTGCTGGCAGCCCTGCTCGTGGTCTTCTTGCTCATCCTTAAAGTGCCTATGTCTTGGCGCAAAGCCAGTCTGTCTAGCCATCCGGTCTGGATTGGCTGGAGCATCGATCTGACCACATTTACCGTCTGCGTGGAAGCAGACAAGCAGCAACGGTTGCTTCAACTATTGCTGTCCATCCTGGAGGCCAGGCATGTTTCCAGACATGACGCTGAGCGCCTGACAGGTAAGCTCCTCTGGCTATCAGGTTTGCTCTCCTTTCTGCGTCCAACCCTGGCCCCACTCTACTCCCTTCAGCGTTCAGGCCAACTGGTCATGGCTGCCCTTACTCCTGACCAGTGGGCTGCCTTGCGGCCTTCCTCTGGGTTCCACACTGGTCCGCCTGGCACGCCTGCCAATCTCGGAGCTGTCAGACATTCCAGCATGGCTCCCTGAATCACGCCGTATTTGGGTTCAGGTGTCGCATCGACATACCTCATCGGTTTTGGTTACTGATGAAGTTCGTGAGGTTCTGTCGCTCTGGAAGGATTGCCTGCACCAGTCGACGTGCCGCCAATGCATTCTGTTGTCGCCTGCCTTCCAGTGTGAAGCCTTTGCAGATGCGTGTGCAGACAGCTCTTCTGTGGGTCTGGGAGGGTACGAGCTCACAATATCTAAGGCCGCCTTGGCCTCACTCTGCCCCTTCTTTCCTCGTGATGGGAATCCTCAGCATCTCATTGCGGCCTGGGAGCTTTTGTCTCAGTGCGCCCTAGTGTGGACTGCTCATGCTATGCTACCTCTGGCTCATCCTAATTTGCATATGGTGCTTCGTTGTGACAACTCTGCCTCCGAAGCTGCCGCATGGAAAGGGCTTTCTCTGGCTAAGGGTCTCTGCGCCGTTCTTCGCCAGTTTAGTGATCTGCAGCGCAGAACTTGCATTTCAGCACATGTTGAGCATGTACCTGGATTTCTCAATGACATAGCTGACTCCCTGAGCCGTGATGGGGATCCTGTGGACTTGGGCTTCTGCGATGATGATCGTGTTTGCCCCTGCTGGCAGGAGTTTCTGGTCCCTCTTAGGGCGGAAGTCTCCCCTCTGGAGGCTGAGATATCTCAGCATGTTCCTGCTCTTCTTTGAGTGGCTGTCTTGGGGTGGGTCCCGCTGGGTCAATTCTGATCAGTCCTTTGGATTTAGGCCCACCCATCATTCTGTGCAGTAGTGCTCCACCAGCAGGTGTAGAGCACGCTGCTGCTCTGTCCTTGGTCTGTGCTCTGCCGACTCTGCCAGACCTTGGACTCCTGCCACTCGCAAAAAGAAGGGTGCGTGCATCCCTGCTTCTACCTTCTACAGTAGGAACGGACTAGTCTTTGCAGTAAACTAATTTGAGTCAATACAGAGAAACCAGGCATGGTGAGGATTCACGATTTGATAGCTCTTTCTTGCTGCGATGGGTGCATTGCCGTTCTTCGTTCTTAGTTGGTCGGGGGCTTCAGTCTGGTCAGTGCGAGGCTCCTAAATAGATGCATGTCATATAACCTCGGTTTCACGGCCAACTGGAAGGCAGTATTTGCAACTGGCAGCTAGAACACATGGCAGCCATTTTGACACCAACAAGACTGGGTGAACACACAGCGCAACTTGTCAGAAAGCAAGAGCGAAGCGGGTGAGTGGACAGGTTACAGGTACAGCTTTCGCAGAAAGTTGCCGCTGCTGAAGCGCGAAACTAAGCCTCGCAAGATGCTTTGGTTGCGTTGTCCATGCTGCATTACTTGGCAGTACATTTCAGGTTGGCCAGGTAGGCGTTCCATATCCCACTGCGGCAGCAGCCTGACAAGCAAGGCGCAGTCTGTCCACTACGGCAGCGAGACTTCTGAATCAAAGTTTTTTCACTTTTGACCGGGCAGGCAACAAGTTCCAGGAGATGAGACGCACAAGTTGGAATGGACTGCGAACCTGCGGAGCTTTGCAAAAGCTAATGGCCGTACAGTGCATCATGTTCTTTAAGGACTCGCGCAATCTCATTTCAGGACCGTAGCAGCATGTGGATGCCTTGATCTACAAAAAACTTGAACTGCAACTTTGCTCGTGCTGCCTTGCAGACTGTACTAACTGCAGGACTAATCAGGGATTTTTCAAACCTGTGCAAGGTACCATGAGTTACCACCATCAGACATCAAGCAGGCCATGAAGCTCAGTAAGATCCTGTCTTGGTAGGCATCGCCTGCAAGCAAAAGGCCTTGAGGTGGTACAGACGAGGGGCACGGATGAACCACAAAGGATCCACTACCATGTCTGGGACCTAGCTTCAGTGGGAGGAAACATGAACGCTAAACTTCACCAGAGCAGATCGAGGCTGGGCAAGCTGCACTTAGCTGCTGCGTGCAAGCTCAGCGTGCGATAGAGAGCTGCTCACACCAGACAGCACCTAGAGCAGGGGCAATAGTGAAGCTCCTTTTGGCACGGTGTTGCAAGCACATCGCACTGAGGGGCAAAAAGAGAAAGCAATGCACTTTCTACAGCGAACGGGAAAACCCCAGAGGAGCCAGCAGCTTAAAGTAGCTCTGCGTGATCTGCTTTCTGTTTTCTTGCTGATCAAACCAATCAGGCTTGGAACCCCCAAGAGCTCTGAGCCAGTCCATCCTGGACACAGGAAGATCTTGTTGTCATTTTGTCAGAGTTTGGCCCTTGGGGCGCATGCTGCCAGGCCACGGAGGCGAGAGAGGCGACTCCCTTGCGCAGTGGCCGTGCACCTGGCCGGACTGTTTGCTTCTGTTGGCTTTCCTGGGTCGTGTGGCTCTGGCAGTGAGATGGAGAGGGAGTTCCGAGGTTTCTTGGAGAGCTCTTTCTGCAAAGTACGAAGCTACGAGATGCGGCTCAACTCTCGGATAGCCCAAATAAGAAAATAATAATAACCTGCAGGCACCGTACCTCTGATAGCATCTGCAGCATGTGAGATCAAGGAGGGACCCTCGGAGGCTGTGCCATGGCGCCTCGGGGATGGCCTCGGAAGAGAGTTCACCACGTGGCTGGGAAACAGATTAGCCAGCCTGGCAGGGTGCCACGATCTGGATTGATCGGGGGACTTTTCGGACCCGGTAACTTGTCACAAGGGCATGTCCAAGTTGCACAAGCACAGTCTCAATCGCTTCAAGCTTTCAGAGGGGCAAGGCATGCCGATCAAAATTCAGTACAGAACTGTCCAGCAACCTCGCATGCAAGGGCGACAAGCACAACAAGCGTGAACTGTGAAAACTTGCAGCTTCAGATCCCACCCAGCACTAAGCTTGTGGGCCACTTCACAAAGCTGCAAGAGGAATTGCAGCGTTGTGTTTCGGCTCGACCGCTGGTGCCGCCCAGTCGCCTGCTAGATGCACCCGCACAGGTTGAGCAGCCGCGTGCAACTCTTTGGAGCTTTGCTCGCCCATCATCATCCCTGTATGTGCCAATGGTCTGTGGATCAGCTGAACGAGCCAAGCGACCTGGGCGGGAATCTTTGGAGCTCGTCGATGAAGTCAAGCCCGCAGAGAGCATTTGGAGATTTGCTGAGAAATCATGTTGGAGCTCCAGTGAATCGAGGCCTGATTCAGCCCTCGAAGTTTAAGATCATCTGAGATCTATGATCTATATGTCGAACTAGTGTTTACTGTTGGTTCTTGCAAGATGCAGTCAGCTGTTGTTCCATTACACAACGTTCGATGCATGATTAAGGAGGAGGACCCTAAACATCTCCAAATAACTCAGTCAGAGTCTTTCGCGTCAATCCACAGACCTTGTTAGACCACGCGCGTGTTCATTCACGTCCACAGAACTAGAAGTCTGCGCTGTTGCTGAAGGTGGTGGCTCAATGATGACTTTACCTCCTGGAACATACAGAGCCCAACCCACGCCCGAAACCAGACGTGTGTGATGCCAAAGCTTCAGCTCTATAGATTTAGAGGATGCAAGTCAGTCAGTCAGTCAACGTAATGCTACGCAAGCTTGGGGTGAAGCGCTCTGGGGAACAGAACTCCTACCACACTCTCTTCTGCATCCTGTCTGTACTTAGGGACTTCTGGGAACTGAAATGGGTAGCTAGCCAGGACAGGCCATCCAAAGGCCAAGGTCTTCGAATGCCCCGTCAACCTCGCAACATCACCCCATAAAGAGAGCCCAAGGCCATACCTTGTAGAGCAACAGCGGCTCAATGAGGGAGATGGGTCATGTTGATCACAGGTGTCAGAAAGTATGTAGCTATAGATGCATGTGAGCAGGCCGTCCAACAGCTTGCGCACGTCCCCGTTGCGTTTCGCACACGCTGCCTCGCTTCACGCAGGACTGATGTAAGGGCACGTAGCTTGTCCAAATCTCTAGCATGGCTCGCAAGGAAATGCGGTTGTTGCAGACTCACAGACCACCTCCCCCGCGATCAAGCCTCTGCTCGCAGCTTGATGTCTGGTCATGTACTTCAGGAAATGTTTGAGGCGGAATCAGCTGCAAGTGAGCTGCAAGTCGCCGCATGTCATAAGGCCGTTGGAGGACGGAGTGCTGGACGATATCATCGATATCCGCACTAAGCAGGAATCGCGGAGCTCTTGCTCTGAGCTATGAGCAGCAAAGCAAATCCATAAGATGTGGCACCGTACCTGCCCCGCCTTGGCCTGAGCCCAAACGGCTTCCGAACGCCAAAGCCGTTTGGGGCATGAAAAGCTCTCTTTCGCGTGTCAGGCCTCACAAAAACCTGCCAGGAATCTCCCATTACCTTCCCATTCGTCTATCCATGCACCCATGCATATAGCCATCAATTCATCCCATCCATCCTTCCATCTGTCCGTCCCCATGCCCTCATCCATCATCATCATCATCATCATCATCATCATCATCATCATCGCTGGTGCAAGCCTGCATTCACGCGGCAAATCTGCCATGGCTAGGTTGCAGAGCAAATGGGAAGGCCAAGCCTGCAAGAACAAAGATCTGGAAATGGACGTGGGATGCTGGCTGCCGGGGAGCGACGGGGTGGGTGAAGACACGTACACCAACGCCCAGACGCAAGCGGCCACATTGTTTAAGATGATTTCTGTGTAAGTGCGATGCACTCTATCAAGCAAAGATTCTTCAGCAGGATGGCCAGTTGCTTGAGTTCAACACTTGGATGTGTCCAGGCTCGGGCTTTACAGTGCTGCACTTTCGTTGTCAGCTGGAGGGAAAGAAGGTATTCAGATTTCCATGCATAAGAATGCGAGCTTGGAGGCTCAGAAGACCATGATGAGGGTCAACGCATTTTCAGCTGTGAAGCCTTTATCCGGTCAAGACTCCAAGCAGGCTTCCTCATACATGTGACTTATGTGACGACCCCGCAAGTGTTGCTTAAAGGAATTTATTGGAGGGCGCATCCATTCTGTCCGCAATCTGAAGCAGGGCCCAACCATGGAAAACTGTCCTCAGCTGCCACCAGACACTGCAAAAAAATATTGTAGGTTGTATCAGCGCGCGACCTATGATGCCTGTCGCAGTGCGCCGAGCCTTGTTGCTTCATGCGCGGGGCGCGTGAGCGACGAGAGACTGCCATCGACAAGTGCTGCGCAGCACCTTTGTTGCACAGTGTAGCAACATGCCTCCCGCTACAGCATTTTGTTGACACAAGATGCATCTGTAAGGACATAGAAGCAGCTGATTTTGTCGCGTTCGACTTAGAATTCTCCGGCCTTTTTTTGGAGGAGGGCAGATCCAGGCACGCATCACTGGAAAAGTATTTCACCAAATGTGTCCAAAGTATACCTCAATTTTTGCCCCTTCAGCTGGGGGTATGCTGTGCCCGGCAACGGCTCGCAGACAAAGTCTGGGAATTGCGTTCACACGAGTTCAACCTGCGACCCAGCTCGCGCCGGATGTTCTTGTCAGATTTCAAGTCCTTGCAGTTCCTTCGAGAGAATGGCTTTGACTTCAATGCATATCTGGACTCGGGGTTTTCATATTCTCGCTTGCCGGAGGCTCACCAATCAAAGAAGGCACGCAAGTTCAACGTGAATCAGCTTGTCCAAGCACTCCAGGACTGCAGGGTGCCCCTGGTGGTCCACAACGGATTTCTCGATTTGCTTCACTTGTTCAACGGATTTATTGGAGATTTGCCTGGAGACTATTGTGAGTTTTTCGAAAGTTGGCTGTTGCATTTTCCAGCAACCTTCGACACGAGGCTCATCGCACAAGAAGGGCAGTACAAGATCTTGAAAGGCAGTGGTCTCACCCTGGAGGCTCTTCATGGACAGCTCAGCGGATCCAAGCGCATGCAGTTCGAATTCCAAGGCCCTCTCGGACAGGATGGACCGTGTCACGGGTCCTCTGGGCATGATGCCCTACTCACGGCCAAAGTGTTTCTTCTGGAGCTGGACTGTTGGATTCACCTGGATGCCATCGAGATAGAGCAGAGGAAGTGGAGGAGGAAGCGCTTGAGTGAGCTGGAGACTGCCCTTCTTCCAATGAGCTGGCAGGAGATTCACAAGCTGGCCGAGAAAGTTGGGGTCGGCATATACCGCTCGATGGTGCAGGGTCGTTTTGGCGGATCTCATGGTGCTCGGCGCCCACTCGCCGAGATTCGTGCGGCCATTGTAGCCGTCCAGTACGACGCTTGATCATGTTTAACTTATGAAAGCTTGCGATCATCCCATAGACCTTGTGGGACTGGCAGGGGTCCGATCATCTAAGGCCAAAGAACTGGACAACCTGCGGCATTGCGAGGCCGGATTTTGCTTTCATTCCCAAGCGTCCCGCCGTTGTGGCATGAGGGAAAGCATTTGCAAGCCTGAGCAAGCAATTAGGTTGATAAATAATTAAAGCTGAATAGCTTAGGTCTCGATCTTTTTTTGTGTGTGACGCTCTCCCTCTCTCTCTCGCTCTCTGGCTCGCCCTCGCGCAAACATCGGTTGGATCCGCGTTTGAGCGCAGCCGTCATCTGATATTTACATCCTTCTCAACAATACCATCCTCTGAAATTTGCTGCAGCTGAATCCAGAATGCGGCTGGGTTGAACCGTAGAGTCACTTGCAAACTCTCATAGTTTGGCATCAGCTGGTCTAGGACCTTGGGAGTTCTCTTCCCTTGAGAGAGAGTAGGAGGCTCCTAATCCTGTGACCGGGTGACTGCACTTCTTGGCATCAGTTGCCATGCTTGGCCAAAGGCACTCCAGAATGCACGAGAAATTCTTCAGTCATGTAAGACTGGGATGGAGCCATCGGAGACCATCGTTGTCGCATTTGGTTCTGACACACCAGGCCGCTTTTGCTAATCGCAAGTTTACTACTCGGTTTTGCCTGGCGCGACCTGTGTGGCCATTTTCCTTTGCCTTGCTCACGTGCTACTAGCAACCTCGAACTTCGTCGCTTCTTACATGTTTCCTGCCTGCCATACGGCAGATGTAACATGCGCATCTTGCGCCCCATTTTTGCTTGTATTGCTCGCCAACGAACGTCGCCCACACATCAGGGTCGGTCATGTGATCTGATGTGCATTGGGCCTTGCTGTGTCTAGCAACCTAGGACACTGTGAGCGAGGGCAAGTCGACCAGCAGAACGATTTTTACTCCAGATCTGCTTGTCTCGCACAAGGCAGATTGCTTCTCCGGCCTTGGCCCTTTAATGTGCAGTCCCGCACGGTGCCCTGAAGGTTTGCGGGAGATTTCGAAACTGCCTGGCCATAGTGGGTGCCACTCTTACGCTGCCGTATTGTGTAAGTGCCAGTGGATCGAAGGTGACCAGATTCAAAAAGAGCTGCAAGTAAGGTGCCTCTCCTGGACACGTTTGCATGGAGCACGTGGAGAGAGCAAAAGAAGTGTGCGTTTTGTTTGACTGGGCAGGTTTGGGAGCTAGAAAAAGTAAAGCGCTGTCTGCAGATTTGAGTTGCAAATCAAAGGAGTCCTGCCACAGGTGATGCTTTCGCAAATTTCGCAAACAAGAAGAGGCATCCATCAACTTCCTGTCTACGTGAACAGTTCCCATGATGCATGGCCGTTGTTCTGGAGTCATCCCGCAATGTCTGCTTTGCGTCGGAGGTCCATTCAAGCGACCGGGTGGACCAACCAAGATGATCTGCGTCAGGACATCTTCCTCTTGCTATCTAGCGCTGCCTTGCATTTGCCAGGAAGCGTTTGATCCATCCTCTCCCTTCCATGATACAATAAAACAGGAGGTGGTGCCCACACCAACTCGGGGGCACGAGCATGGCCTACCTATGCAGAAGTGGGACTTCTCTGACTTTGGGGGACGCCGGCGTTGCTGAAGTGCCAACGGCGTCAATCATGTTGTGAGTTCCGAGCCCATGTGTTGAGGGTGATCTTCGCGTGGGACAGTCGACACATCCCTCAAATGCAGCGGGAAAAGACGTTCGATCATGCTTAGCCCTCTTTTGTATTTCAATTCAAGTCCAGTGGCAGAGAGTCAGTCTTAGGTCAAATGGTGGAAGCTGTCAGCTGAAAATGGAGACAGCGATGCCATGATGCGCCTGTCGCAGGCCAGTTGCTCAGAGGAATGATGAGGAAGAGCAGTCCTGTCTCACTTCTTCTTGGGATGCCGAGAAGACGACACGTGATTGCATAGACGCTTGAGAAAGTCATCTTGCACCAACGCCATATTGTTCAAAAAGTTGGTGCTTTGCACTGATAGCAACTCCCGCGCTCACTGTACTCCTGACTCTCGAAGTCCACGACTAGCTCCTTGGATTGCAAGGTGATTGCGTTCGTGGTGTTGGGCCGGCATGCCGCTCTGATGTTCAGGTATTACTACCAATCCTCTATCACTTTGCAGAAGTCCGGCGCTGGGCATTTTTCAGAAGATGTGCGTGGCTTCTGGGTGCAACAGAGTCGGAGAATACTTGTACGCAGGTGACACGATGATCGAAACACTCCGTACCATGTATGAGGTGCCTCACGACAGATTGAGCTTTGTTCATCCTTGCACCACCCTAGTACTCTGAGAATTCTGCTGCATGGTTTGTCCACGCAACTTTGGTCAGTCCGTCATCGTGAATTGCGCGCATCGAATAATTTGCGCTGCTATCTGCGGGCATGCTGGCTTGCTGAGAACACTTCCTAGATTGCAAAGTCAGAACACCTGCTGGAAGAGACGTTTTGAAAGGAGAAATGGCAAGTTCGTTTGTAGGTTTGTCCGCTCTTCTTGCGTTTTCAGATTGTCCTCATGGCCAAGCTGGAGCTCGCAGTCTTCGTTCTGGCTGCAGGTGCTCCTTCCGAAGCACGGCAGTTTGTTTCCCTGTCTCGACTATGCAGCCTCAACACGTGCTGACTTTGCGAATTCCAGGCCTTCACTTCCTTTTGTTCAGCAACTTGTCGCTCCGACGTTCACAACCCAAGTGCCAGACTCAGCACCGTGAGAGAAATTCTTGTGCAGTGCCAGCAGCCAGCAACACATGGCTGGATTGGAAGGCCACGGAGCAAGGCTAAGCTGCATGATGCAGGCATCACAGCAGCACTGGGACTTTAGGCTTATCCGTGCATTTGCCTGGTGCAAGTTCTCTCTCACAAGGCGATGGTCCCGCAGCAGATGTGGTCTCTTCGCAAAAGCCGTCAGAAAAACCAACGGGTCCATCTGCGGGGCCTGTAACAAATGATGCGCAACCACAGGTTCCCTGTCACCAAGCCTTCCACCGCATCCTTGACACTGTTGTGAAGACCGATGTTGATCAATGCTGGGCAGCGGGCTTAGGAAACTGCCTGATTGTTTATGGCCTGTACCTGCAGCCCCCCTCCCTCTCCAGGAAGTGCTGAAGCGAATGGAGGCTGGCTACCAAAACAAATGATAGCAAGTGCATGAGCCCCTCGACCCTCTTGTCAGGCCACCGGCCTCTCGCCAAACAACGTCACCTGCTCCATTCTGCTCAAGGGCGTTCAGAAAGGAATGCAGGCGCATGTTTGTGCAGAGTGACTACTCGTTGTTCCGGCATTGCAGTTTCCAGGAAGGATACTTGCAGAAAGTGATGAAGATCATTGACTCACGAGAAGTCAAAGATATGGATGAGGCTTCGGCTTGAAATGCAGTGCTAAAGCGTGATAGACACCTGCTTTAGCCTTGGCCCTTGGCTGTTGCGGCAGGTCTTGCTGGGATCTCTCTACGAAGCATGTATTCGTTGCGGTCAAGTACCTTGGATATCAGAAGAGCATGAGCACTGTAGAGTCTTCAAGCCAAGCAAGCTGGACTTGTTCTGTCTTCGCAATTAGATAGCTCAAATCCGTTTAAACAGCAAGCCTGGGCATTTCGTCTTAGTAGTAGTAGTAGCAGTAGTAGTAGTAGTAGCAGTAGTAGTAGTAAGTAGTAAGTAGTAAGTAGTAAGGAGTAAGGAGTAAGGACTAAGAAGAAGAAGTAGTAGTAGTAGTAGTAGTTGTAGTTGTAGTAGTAGTAGTAGTAGTAGTAGTAGGCGTCTCCCCCCCCTAGGGACTACACTTTTCTTAAAATGGACCATAATGGGAAAGGGGTGGGGGGGGGGGTAGTTCCGTGCTGAGAAAATTGATTCGGGAGGCAACAACTCGTGGGATGTCGCTGCGGTGTTGCGCAAGCATTTCAGCAATATTCAGCTGGTTGATTCTATATGTGACATGTGTATCTGTGTGTGTGTGGCAGTCAGACGCAAGGGAAGACTGATGCTGCAGGTACACTGTCCGCGCCCGCCTGCAGCCATCAGCCTCAAGTTCCAGTCAGCTTTTGTATTTTGGAGTTTGGTAGGGGGGTAGGAACTTGACGCCATGGCTTCTGTCCCTCTTTCGCCATCCGGTGAGAGTGTGGGACTTTTTTTGTTGTGACCCCGCCGGTGCTTCTCCTGCCCGGTGGTGGCTCTCTGCACGCTTTGCCTGAGTCTACTTTCGTCATTCTGTTGTCTCTGGCTGCCTATCTCGGCCCTGCCAGGGCAGCTCCGGGGTCTCCAAGCGTCTGGGCCCTACGACATGATGTTCTGCCTCCCCTGCTGGTCTGCCGGGGATGGTTTCCGGTCCCTCATTCAGCTTTGTGCACTCGAGGGCTTGTGCCTACTTCTGCCCGGCTGTTCTCAAGCTGTGTAGTGCTTACATGTGCTGTGTTCTGCCGCTTGGTCCCTGCCTGGTTCTCAGGCCTGACCCGGCTGCTCTGTCTCCACCGCGTGGGAGGAATGGCCTGCCTGCACCGCTGCACTTCTGTCTGGCTTGGCGTGCTTGAGCTTGACTCTGTGCGCTGCAGCGCCTTCTTGCTTTCAGCATTCAATATCTCGCCTTCGTCCCTGCCCCTGTCCGACTCCTGCGCTTCATGATGACGCCATCTAGGGTGTGTTCTACTCCCTGCCTGCTGGGGACCTGATGCCTGATGCGCTTCAGCCGCCTGGGCAACGACTCCATTCGTCGTCAACTTTATGTCGCTGTCCTGAACGAGCCTGTGGCGGAGCCGGCCCCCGCCTCTAAGTCTGGTGCCGCCTTCTTGGGCGGACAACTCCTCTGGTGATGTTCGCGTTCCGTCTGGTCCTGGCCCATCTACTGGCTGTGTGTGCGCTACTTTGCCGACTCCGACTACGCCTGCTCCCAGTGGCTCTTCCGTCGTCGCCTTCTTTGCCGGCCTGCTCCATTCTTGGCTCATCCAACGGGCGGCCCTGTGTCTGGTCCGCAGTGTGCTCTGTCTGCAGCCTCTGCTTCTGCCCCTGCGCCGCGTGCCTGGCGCAGTGCCGCGTCCTCTTTCACCTATGGTGGTTGGCCGCCTTTTTGCGCCTGCGCTTTGTGACTCATGTGCAGTCCATGGGTCAAGCATCCACTCTGTACCTGCAGACCATTGCAGACCCAATCTGTCTTCCAAAGGACTTTCAGCTTCAGCGTGCTGTTGCCAGGTGCGCGCCTTCAACCTTGTCTGCGTATCTTTCTGCCTGGGGAGCTTGTGAGGCCTGCTCTGCGGGTCCCTGGGCCCCGCTGGCTGCGCTACAGTCTGAGTGGCTCCTGTCTGTTGCCAGCCCGTCAGGTCTTTCCGTCATGGCTTTCAAATCTGTGTTGTTCATGTCACGCCAAGTTGTCCGTCTGGATCCCCTGGCGTCATCGCACTTCTGAGGTCGACTCTGGCCTTCTCCATTTCGCGCAGACCACGCACTGTCCTGCGTGCAGTCGTAGAGGGGAAGTTGATCCGCCTGGCCCGGCTGTGTCTGTCACTGCCCTGTTGAGCCCGTCATCTGGGGCTACTTGCTACTGCCTTGGCCATGCTTGGTGAGGTCCACCTTTACGTCATTTGCGAAGCCTCCGTGCGCCGCAACCGCCGCCGAAGTGGACCGCTGCCCAGGCGTCCGTGCTTGATGGCTCTGCCAATCCGCATCCAAAGCCTAAGCCTGAGCCCAAGACATCTGCCAACTGTGAGTTGGCGTAATTAAAGCCTGCCTGTCTGCTACACCCGTGTGGATTGGCTGGCTTATCTGCTTGGACTCGTTTACTGCCGACATGCAGGATGGTAAAAAGGCCCGCCTGATTGGTTTCCTCAAGTCTGTCCACGGCCTTAATTAAAACCTGCGGAGAACCTGCCTGCCCAGTCTGACTCCTCTGTACTCTAATGAGTCCTCGCATTCCGGTGCATTTCGCCCTGACACTGGAACGGTGGCACGCCTGTCGCGCCAATCTGGACCAAGACCTGGTCCTTCTCTTTGACATTGGTGTTCCTTCTCTGCCTGTTGGTTCACAGCTGCTGGCAATTGCCAATTCTGCTGCTTCTTGCGCCCGCCGTGTCTGGGCTAAGGCCGGTCTGCCCTGGTCCTCAGACTGTCCTGTCTCGCAAGCTTGCCAGGAAGTCATTCGCCGCTGGCTGGACCTACTGGCTGCTCCGTCCTTAGCACGTTGCATACTGATCAGCCCTTTGCTTCAGTGTGAGGCATGCGCTCAGGCCTGGATGGCTTTGCCGCTTTCCTGCAGGCCAAACCTGCTATTTCCAGGTACGCCTCTCTAGAGCCCAGCTGGCTGATTTGGTTGACTGGTTCTCTATCGCTTGCTTGGGGAGCTTCTGGCGCAGATAGCTCTCGTCTGGCTGGTTCATTCTATGCTCCCGCCTAGTCATCTGCCCGTCCATGCTCATCTGTCTTGCATGTCTTGCGACAACGTTGTTGCTGAATTTGCCTCATGGAAGGGCCTTTCTACGGCAAAAGGTCTTTGCCACTTGCTTCGCTGTTTTCTGCACTTTCAGGAAGACCGTCGCGTGTCCGCCCATGTTAACCACATTCCTGGGATCCTGAATGGCAAGGCTGACAAGCTCAGCCGCTCTGTTGATCCGTCCTCTTTCGGTTTCCTGCCGGATCAGCTTCGCGCCCCACCTTGGGCCGCTCTGTCCTCTCTGCCTGTCATTCAGACATATCCGCCTGGTTTGGACTTACGATCTCTCTTTGATGCACTGTCCTGAGTGGCTTTTTGTCTGCATCTGTCTCCCTGCGGGTCAATCCACTGCACCGTCTTGAGGCGCGCGTTGGCCGGTGATGCAGCCTACTTTGCCTGCCTGTAGTGCCGTATTTCTGCAGGTTCTGTCAGTCCATTCCTGGGTCTGACCGATGTTGACTGCAGATCCACGGTCTGTGCCCGCTTGCAGCCTATCAGCTTCAAGTTCCGGTCAGCTTTGGTTTTGAGCTCCCACCTGCCATCCCCTTTCACCACCTAGATTCTTGTCTTTCCGCCGCTGCACCCTGCCTTGCGTGCACTGTCCCCGGCCCTGTCCTTCCTGCCTGCCGTGCACGCCTGGGCTTCTGCCTTGGACTTTCCTGTGTTGGCTTGGAGCTTTGCTCCTCTGCCCGCGCTGCAGTCTGCATCTCTGTCCTGTCATGTTTAGTCATGATGGGCCGGTGAGGCAGCCTGCCTTTCCTGACTGTAGTGCTGTATTTCTGCAGGTTCTGTCAGTCCCTTCCTGGGTCTGACCGATGGTGACTGAACTGTCACAGTCCTGTTCTGCCACTGGACTTAACGCTTTCAAAGGAAAAAGGGGGGTACTGCAGGGCTGCTGTGCTGTGTTTTTCTTGTCTCTGAAACCTCTAGCTGACGTAACGGACTAGTCTGCCTGCCAAACGGCCCCAAAAAAACGACGACGGCTCTGCATTTGGCAGGTGTGACAAACGAGGCACCACAAACAACGACATTTTTGCACTGCGCAGATATTATAAGGCTCCAATAGCGATGACAGTGCAGCACTTGGCCACCACGAGGCTGAGAAAACGACAGCAGTTCTGCCCTTGGCGACCAACAAGTCCGCTCAATTTCTCAGTTGTCACTCATTTTTGATGTCAGGTAACGAGGTCAATATTGTTTGGTTTATGAACGTTTGATGTTTCGCCCACTGGCCCTGTAAACAGGGCTGGCTTTGAGCGATTGGAGCCCAGCAGGTTCTCGAAACAGGGTTGTGGCATCTTTCGCGGGGAGCTGTTTGTAGAGGTATGACGCTTTCCTCCTTGTTTCATAGAGTCATAAAGAATCTCGCAGTGAAGATGCCACTGCCACACCGGCTTCACAGCAAAAGGCTGCACAGACGCATTTCAATTTCATAACGCGAAACGATTAGTCCACTACTGCATGTTGTGAAACAGGAGCACGCAGCGTGGCTTGGAACTTGACAGGGTTGCCTTGCGTTGACAACACAGGTGCAGTATCTGCTGAACTACGTCAAACGCCTGCGAGAGGAAAGCGGATTCGTGCAGGTTTCATGTTGAGCACTCCTGGCTATCTCCCCTCACATAGAAGTTGTGCAGGTCCGAAGTGCCCACACGGTTGGATCTATCATCCGCGCCTATGGTGCAGCAGAGGACCGTCTTCTCATTTTCCATGATGAAGAGATAGTCCAAACTGACAGGATCTTGACGGAGTTTGGGCCACATGGAATGAGATGAAGCGGAAGCAGATACAGCCGACTCGTATCACTTTGGGCTGCATGGTTGAGGAGGGTCCCTGACGTGGTCATTTCAGATAAACAAAGTGCCCCGCCTCGACAGGCATTGGCTTCCAACCACGATGCCGAAGGTGCTTACGAGATCATTCAGCAGGCTGCGTTTTCAGGGTCTTGGCCAGTGATCTAGCAGAGCCGTCTCCGCGTGTTCCAAACAGCAGCCAGTACTCGGCAACATACAGTCGAATACGACACGAAGCTCTTCACGTCCATGTCGCAGCTCACGTGTTGTAGTTCCACATGAGCACCAATAGCTGATGCACGCAGAGGGAATGTTACATCGCGTGCTTTTTGACACATAGATACTTGTAGTAGATATTGTGTGGCTGCCCCTGGTGACGAGAATTGACATGGTCATTGCACTTGCAAGAGTATGTTTGGCTGTAGTTGAGATGCCCAGCTGCCCCCTGTCAGATCCATCAATGACCCTTTCATGCCATATGGGAAGGAGAAGCACATTTATGCACCTGATTTTGCAGAATTCTACATGGTAAAAACGGTGCGATAAAGAGGGAGCGCCCTCAAAAGCTGAGCCCTGACCTCCAATCCAAACGACATCCTACAGTAGCAGGTCCAAGACCTCTCGGTGACAAGTTCCATGACTTGTCAGTCCTCCGTTGTATGGAATCATCTTGATGTATGTTTTGAAGCGTGCAACTGTTATGGCTTCGGTGGCCAGGCTTTTGCTTCAAGTACATAGGTTTGCCAAATTCTCTTGCTGCTTTCGGTGATACGCACGTCCCCTGCTCTTACCAAATTTCAGACAGCATGGAAATGCAGCAGTACAGGGGACAACAATTACAAACACCGCACTATCATCCTCCACTACAGGAACGGCCATCGCAACAGCTGCCGCCACCGCCACTCCCGCTGGCACTACCACCACTCTAATCTGCCCTCCACAACCAACCGGCAAGAACAGCCGATCAAGCGCAACCGCGGGGTTGCGACGGAAAACGCTGCCACAACACACGCACTCACGCTCTTACTTACCCTGCAGTTCACTTCAGGTTATGATGGGTTTTGTAGGTTGTCCTTCCGAATTTTGTTTCATAAAACCCCCCCCCCCCCCGCTTTCTTGCACATTCACCCCCACCCCAAGGCCCTCCATGAGGCCTGCCGAAGGACGTTCGAGTGTTCTGTTCAACATGCTCCGCATGAGTGCGTTCGGCAGACCTACCATGCCAGACAACTGCAGCTTTAGGTTCCATTCTCTCAAGTCTTCAAAATTTACTACGAATACAGTAAAAGGGGATTCTGATTAACAACCTCGCCCAAACAAGTAGAGGATTAAAAAGTAGTCCGGGTCCCCCAGTTAGATTTGGGCAGGCTTGTTTAGGGGGATCTGGGGCCCTGTCAGTTAACTCTGCATTGCCGGGATCAATTCAGGTTCTCAATCATGAAGGCAAAAGTGCACTCTATTCCATGCCCATTTTTTACGTTTCCGTTCGGCCAAAAGCTCGCTCTATTGCAAACCCATGTATTAATCATTACCCAGCATTAGGAAATCGTTCGGTCCGTCAGATGATGGGCTTTGGCTACCTGTGAGGCACTTGCAGATCCTCAGACTGCGGCCTTGGTCAACGCGGCCCTATGGCAGCAGCACAGCAGGGGGCATGTAAACGGACAAACTCGATCATACTATTCAGTTGACAGGTGACTTACAGCTCCGTGCTCAAGAGCTTCAATCACCAGAAGCGTTTCCATCGCGTGTGGGAGGTCTACGAGGAGCAGCTTCGGTTTAAGGGAAGCGGTTTCGATCCCCAGCATGCAAGTCTAGGAGAGACTGCCTGGTGTCCAGCGTCCTAGGTCCTATCAGCAGAAAGCCTTTAAGGACCCACCACTCCCAGGGTGCCAATAAGCGCGGCCAAGCATACAAGCTTACAGCCGCAGGGACCCGCTTGTGAGCAAGGTTTCCGCAGCCGACTTTTCATTCGGATAGTCTTCGCTCTTGAGATTAGCTTCAAGCGTATGTCGGCAGGGTTCGCTTGTGCAAGTGCTAGAGAAAGCGAAAGGAGATGATCAAGCAGAAGGTGGAATTCTCGGTGACAACGTACAATGCGCTTCTCGATGCCCCGAGCTTATGACATATATGACGTATGTTTGCGGAATACCTTCGTTTCAAACCGCATCCTTCGCAAACATGCCGCAAGCCATGCCCAATGCTTCCGAAGCAATCGTCCTGCCAGCCTGTGTAATCTCTACCAGTCTGCCAGCCACTTGAAGTTGCAGCTTGCTGCACCGCCACTGCTCAAGCGCGCACTGACTCGCGCGGGTGTTGTGGAAAGAAATTGTCAAAAACATGTGCAAGCACGACCCCTTCTTTGTATCCTGAGCATAAGCGCCAGGATGACTTGTGCCCCAATCTGCGCCGCCAGCACTCATCTACTCACATGTAAACGTGTCTTTGTGTTTGTGGCTCCGGGGATTCTGGGACAGAATAAATTCGTTTTGCCGCTTGCAAAAAAAAACAGGAAACGGTAAACAGAGGTGGTGGGATCTCAGTTTCCGTTTGATGGCCTCTGAAAATTTGCCAAGAGCATCTGCTGTCCTGCAGCATCATGCCGCGCTCTTGCGGATCGGACTTGCGTTATGTTGGCAGAACCTTCGTTGTCGACTGTAACGCTTCAGCTCAAGAGTCAGACTACCAGCACCTGTGCCCTGCAGTTATTTTTCCGCAGCTTCGAAAATGTGAATACGCAGGTCGAACTTCCAAATCAAGCTGTAGTCTGAACCCAGGCTCGTGCCCCCAGCACGGTGCTAGTCCGCGTCCACATGTTTCTACACTACTGGCAGCAGTGGTTGTCATCGTTGTCAGAAGGCCTGACAGGGGTGCGGTGCGGTTGCAGTTGGGGTTGTATGCTCGAAGTGCCTGTGTTCGTTCTGTGTGTTTACATGCTCAGCAGGTGTTAAATTGTGTACCTTTCCTGCGATTTGAGTCCAGATGGCTGTCATAGCAAAGCTCGTGCTGCTGTTGATCATATTGCTCTTGCCTTGACATCTGGAGACCACCTAAAGGGGTTGGCAGTCTTGCTTACCTTACTTGACTCGGGTGCGCTATCAGGCACACATAAACTCGGTGCAGTGGCGAGTTATTCATGCGTTTCAAACGATCTATCACGTGATGGTGTGCTTCGGGCAACTAGGAGTCTCTCAAACAAGTGCCACCTCAGGTCTGCGCGCGAAGCGGTGAGATCGGCCGAGCTGAGCCACTGCTAAAGGACCGGTGCGGAAGCATGCAGTTGCCCATTTGCAGCCAAGAGCAAGTCAGTTGAACAGGATATGGCCGATCAGGGAGTGTCGCCCAACATCATCACATACGGCACGGCAGTTTGCATGCACAAAGACTCTCCGCACAGCATCATGCCAATGCATGAAGGCTCTGTGTATAAGACAACATCACTGTGCTAGCGCTTAGATCGAACGTGCAAGCTGGTAGAAGAAACCAAAGAAGATATCTCAATAACTCGTAATGAGCATTTTAGCTGGAACCTTGATGTGTAGACCTCAGGGCCCGTACCCTTAAGCCCCCCCTTAAGCCCTTAAACACCCCCTCGTACCATTGCTACTACTGCTGCTACTACTCCTACGGCAGGACAGGGTAGGCACAAGCTTGATAATCCCTTTGCTCAAGTAATCCCTTCCCCCTAATCTGAAATCCCCCCCTAATATTACATAATAAATTCAGAGGCCTAGAAATTCAGAAGACTATTGTGAAAAGGGCAAGACTACTTTAAAAAGGGCCACCGAATAGTGAATTAGGGGGGGTTCTGAGGTCATTCGGGGGCATAAGAAGAAATACAAAGGAATTAGGGATCCCCGTCATTTCCTAGGTTTCGATTGTTTTTCATATGAGGGATTTTTAAAATTATGGTACCTTTTTGGGTCCCTATTATAATACGGGGCCTAATACGGGGCCTAATTTAGGGGACCCAAAAAGGGACCATAATTTTGACAATCCCCCATATGGTTTTAATAAAGTATTTTACATACAGGACCTGAAGCGATTTTAATTGATGTTATTGCAATTTTAGCCGTATTTAAGTAAATCTCAACTGAGTTTCATTCAATTTGAATTAATTTTACATAGAAGTTTAATCAAATTTCAATTGATTTTAAAAAGGAAGTTTAATTAACATTCAATTGGTTTCAACGGTATTTGAATTTGATTTCAACTGATTTGAAAGGAATGTTAATCAGATCTCACTTGGTTTTACATGTATTTTACTTAGATTTCAATTGATTTTAAAAGGATTTTTGATTCGATTTCAATTGATTGTAAAAGGAATCTTGATTCGATTTCAATTGCTTTTAAAGGGTGTTTTAATTAAATTTCAATTGATTTCAAAAAGGAGTTTTAATTACATTTCCATTGATTGTAAAAGGAATTTTCATTTAATTTCAATGGGCTTTAAAAGGATTTTCGATACGATTTCAATTGATTTTAAAAGCAATTTTAATTAGATTTCAATGGATTTCAACATGTATTTCAATGAAATTTCAAGTGATTTTACCAGCAGTATTTTAATTCGATTTCAACTGATTTTACCGGTATTGTAATTCGATTTCAATTGATTTTAAACGGAATTTGATTTTAAACGGAATGTTACTTCGATTTCAAGAAAGATGTAATTAATTCGTTCATTGTCATTAAATTACCCATTCATTTTCCGTGGAATTTAGACGGAGTTTAAAGGTAGCCCTATCTAATTGCTTCAGTAAATATCCACCCCTAATATTGAATAATTTCTCGGGGCCCGGATTATTTAATATTGTGGGGGGGGGACATCGTTTAATATCAGGGGGAAGGGATTAGTGAGAGGCTAGGTATATAGGATTGGTGGATCCGTCAGGTCATCAAGGCTTACTGCTCGGCCAACCGGCTAGACCAGGCTTTTGGACACCCTTCTGTGCAGAGTCAGGTTACTGTTTCACGTTCAGTCGTGGCCACTTAGATTGAGTGAAGCAAATTGCTTGAGATGATGATGAACTGGCAGGCCTTCGCAGTCCTGGAAGAGATGCAGAAGAACACTTCGCTCTCGACTTAGCGCCATGTCTTGGGCCATGGCAGTGAGGGCTCTGCCACGATCAGGGGGATGTAGGCTGAGAAGCTGAGAAGCTGAGAAGCTGAGGCTTCATCCAGATGAAGTGACCTACAACACCTTGCTGGATGGCTGTGCCCGCTATGGGCTCTTTGATCGCGGCCTGGACAGACTGGTTAAGAACAACAGAAATTCATAGAAACTTTGAAAACATAGGATTAGATAGGAGATGAAGAGGGAGACATCATCTCTCACAGCGGCAAAGTTAGCTTAGCGTGTGTCAGACAAAGTGTCTCTGTGTGCGCAGGAAGTCCTCGCTGACATGCGCAGATCGTGCGTGGCACCAAGCAACTACACGCTCTCGGTGATCGCCAAGCTTGCAAACCGCAGCAAGAAGCCGAAAAAAGCTTTTGAGATGGTGGAAGAGTTAAGGAAGGAGTTCAACCTCAAGCTGAACATGCATGTCTACAACAACCTCATCCATGCAGCAACTTGCGACGGAAATATGACGAAGGCACAAGAGGTTTTCGGCACGATGCTGGAGGAGCGGGTTCGCCCAGATGGACGCACATATACTTTGCTCCTGAGGTTTTGCATCACTCAAAAGGCGGCAATGGCAGCCATGGCATTTATGAGGACAGCATTCGGCATGAAGCAGCAGAAAGATGAGTTGAAGGCATCCGGTGGTGAAGATCCCTTGCACCCCCAACTCGTCAAATCCCTCCTTCGCTCATGCCATTGGGCAGCAGCTCCACTCCGCGGCAACAGTGCCTTGCAGGAAGAGGTCATTCAGGACACTTTTGATTTTTTGTCGCGCAGTCTTGATTCGCCTGGGGTGCCGAAGCTCCTGGCCGAAGTACAGAAGTCCCTGCCTTCAATGAAGCTCCCCAAGTCCACGACGAGCAGAATCTTTGCAAAACACTGAGTCTGCAGCACCTGCTTGTCAACCAGTGCTGGGTGATCATGACCGCGGCTGCCGGTTTGACAAAAAGAGCGTCAGAAAGCAGAACAGATGTTGGGCCTGCCAGCCATGTCACATTTTCGTGTTCCCGTTGTTCACGATGAAAAGCTGCAGGTATTCAGCGATGGCGCCGTAGGAGTCCCGCAGGCGTCTGGGCTGTGGTGAACAGCTCAATCCATAGTTTTGTACGGTCTGGCGGCTTGTCAGGAGCCGATGCGAGCCAAACACTGGATGCTGGCGGCTGCTGCTCATGGTCACAAGGAAAACCAGCAAGTATACGTGACTTCCATTTCGGACAGCATCCCGGAAGTGATCAGCAGTTGGTCTGATCATATCGCGACAAGAAACCAGCTTATATGTGGAGGTGTAGGGTTCGATGCCAACACGTGAGATGTTGCCCTCTTCCTGCAGGAGGCGTTGGACCGCGTGAATTGGGCAGCAACTCTGCGCCCGCCTGTCGAGAGACGGTGTCCTGTTTGAAGATCAGAATTGTCAATTTTTCCCCGTTTGCATTCTGCAAGAACTCCCTGAAGCCATCTCAGGTGGATCCGGATGATGGAGACGTGGGGCTGGATCTGAACAGGCAAAAAAGGACTCAACCAGACGCAGCTGTGTGTGAGAGCCCCATGCAAAGCGGCTGCCCATCACACACACTCACAGGCTATGGGGTGCCTGTAACTGGATGGTTCAAGGTTTTACTGCATGCAACGCAGCCAGAATGGGCATCATATAGACAAGTGTGCAAGTCAGTTGCATTGCTCTCGCAATCTCTCGGAGCAATGGTTGGAACTTGGCTTTTGCTTTCTGGGATCAGATTTCACAAAGCAACGCGTCACAGCACCACCAACATCCCAACCAGTAGGTAATGGGGCAAGCTTCGCTTGCAATCTTTTATGCTTCTGGTCGGCAAAGGCTTTCACGCGCCCTCAAATTACTTTGGCCAGTGGCTTTTGTCTTCTAACATACAGTGTTCCTGGTTCCAGTAGTGCAAGACTTCTCCGCTCTTGCGATGTTGAAAGGTTGTGTTTGCCATCCTCACCATCTTCTTGAACACAGAGTGGCCGCCGCAGATGGAAATGGGTATCAGACACTACTGTAATTCAACAGGCTAAAGCCGCCAGTCAGGACTTTCGTACCATTGGTCAGCACGACGAGATGAGTGAACTCAGGTTCATCGGCACCTGGAATGCCAATGCCATCTATCGCACAATTTCGACTGCTTGGAGCTAAGTTGCGGTTCGGTACAGTCATTGCTTTGATCTTGCTGCTTTGCTGCTCGTCATGAGATGTGAAGGCACTTGCTGCATATCCTTTCCATGATCCAGATCATGGAGGCAACGCAACTTCAACCAGGCATGCCTGGGCACTGTTGGCTTGTGGAGTTTCACAAGCCTTGCAATTCGTTAGTGTATCTAGTCTTTTGTTTCTATTTGCTTTCGGAGTGAGGTGCTAGCCGGCACCGTTTTTTTGGGCTTGTTTAAGATAATCAGATGAATCCAGGGCTCCCTCCCTTCCATCCACATCACTCGGCCGCCTACATCTACCATCCGCGATCATGACACTCCTCATCAATCCCTTCGCCTGAGCATCGGCATCATGTGTAGTCTGTCCTGCATTGCGATAGTCATCTGCCAGTGCGCTAGTTTGTTATTTAAGGCACATGGCGGCCCCACCGAAATTCCCGCGACCAGATTTAGATGAGTGACTTCTGACAACCGACTGTAGGTGATGGTAATGGCGCTGGTCATCACCGGGGTCAAAAGTAAAGTCATGACACATGGTCGTCTGTATTGCTGTCGTTGTGGTCATCTTGATAGTCTTCGGTACGGCAGTCCCTGTGATGATGATTGGTGTTCTTACCTTCTCCATTGCCATTAGTATCAGCCCACATCTTGATCTTGCATGTCATCTTAGTCTTGATAACCCTGCATGCCGCTGGTCATCTCGCGAATTTTCATAGCCTCATTGCCATCAACGCATCAGCGAATCAGCATCCAGATTGTGCCTATAGATCATCTGCTGACAACGTGGGAGTCCTCGCTATCATCAGCTCAACATGAAGGGCCCGTCTGTACAAGTAGCATGTGTCTATACATTCATCTCAGATCAACGTTTACAATTACAAGCTATTCGCAGCTTACCGTCGCCTTGGTCTTCACGACACGACCTCGGCTCATGACCATAGCACGGTCAGTAGTATGATAAAGGCATGTCAGCATCATCATCATCATCATCATCATCATCATTGGTCCCCTTTTGCTATCATGATCGGCTTTGTCCTCAGTTTGGTCATCATATGGGTCCATCCCCAGAGTGGCTTCATTCCGAGTTTTCATTATTAAAATCACTTCATTTTTGCACTTGCAGTGCCGCTGCCAAAATACCTTCGAAACGTTCCTGCCAAACTTCCTGCCTGTTGTCAACAAGATTCCGGCCGCTGATGCTATTCAGCTTGGGCCCCATACAACTCAATCTGGACTCCCTAGGACCCGAACCTTGCCACAATCGCATATTACCATGTAATTCAAGTCCGAAAGTATGACCTTTGTCACCCTGGTGATGGGATCAATGTGCGTGTGGTTGCAACAGAAGGCATGAAACAGAAGCTCAACAAGGAAGCCAGCAAAGAATCTCTACGGAGCAGTGGAGCGTCCAAGCAGGCCTGACACGCGTTCGAAGTTGTCCGAGGATCAGGAAAAAACAGTTCAGATCTTCCGAGTGAAAGCTGCAAGGAAACACGCATGTTCGCTTGTGCAAGAGCTTTTGCTCGTTGAGCTGGCTGTGCTTCTCTTTTGCCTGGAGTTCTGTTCTGTTTTGTGGGCATGCGTGGTCCTGAGGTCCGCGCTTGTACAACTAAATAAAATAAACGGCCTAACTGCACATTACGACCTACTCGTAAAAGTCCTCAAGCGTCGCAAGTTTGCATTGCAACTCATGCCATCCCGCCCTTTTTGGCCTGCCTGCGCACGGCTCGAGATCACACACACACACACACACACACACACACACCCCCTCCGATGTTCTCCAAGCATTTCTGCGTGCATCAGATGCCACTCCCGACGCTTCCAACCTCAATTTGGCCCAATCTTCCCATGCAACTGCTGGACTAGATCCAGATCAAGTGGATGATGCTCCACAAGCTGGGACCGAATATCGCAAGTTATTCACTGCAGTATAGTTTGGTACGATCTGCCAATTGCACATTGCAGGACTGACAAGCATCGGAGGGACCCGCATAAAATTGCCACTTCGACATGGCCGAATGAACCCTGTTGAGATGCGCAGCCAACTGCCCAGTCACAAAACCCAGCGTCGCAGATGGAGCATGCGCGCTGGCTAACTGATGCAACTTGATCATCTGGCTCCTCATTGACAATGCTGACCCGCATGCTGCTGGATTGCGCGGTGGATTATGTCCGCATAAGAGACCAAACTGTCCGAGCTTCACCAGCGCGCCAAAACTCATGTGCAATGTTTGACCCGACGAAGCCATGCTGAACTGTCCACGCTGATCACACTTGACACTTCGCGCTCATGATTGGTGACCCTTCGTTTGTTCAAGGAGGCTGTCAGCATCGCATTCTTCTGCTCAGCACGTCTCTCATCGGAACAGCGCAGGTAGCCTACTTAAGCAGCCTAAGCGTCGCTATCACCCAAAGCTTGAAACGAAACCTTTGCCCCTGAAAGCCTGCGTCACTTGAAACAACTCACATGGCAGCGCTCACACCACTCTGTTTGCCTCTACATTGTAGGAATTATGACAGCTCAACAAGCATGCGGGCGGTTCCTTTCTTCGTGAGCATGTGCCTCATCCTGGGGTACATGGTGCCACTTCTCACGCCAGCGGCTAGCCCATGGTCACCGCATCAACAAAAACCTATAGAGTCATACCGCACAGCTCAGGCAACCAAGCACGCAAGCATTTGCAAGAGCTGCGGCCAGCAAGAGAGCTTCGCAAATCCGTTTGGGTGAAGTTCTTGAACAACACAGTGGCAGCGCGGGAAGTTGGTGCCACATGGTGCCGCTGATCACCGAAAGACCACGCAGGACTTCCAAGCTCAGGAAGCGAAAGCAGAATCCAGGGTGCACATGGCGAGGCGAACCGTGCGAGAACTGGCCAACCGACAGCAAAGGCAGCGCAGAAGAACCCGCCGATCTGGAAGAATCGGAGCCTGAAGTGATGGAGGGTTGCGCGGCCACAACGGCATCGGAAGAGTCCCGCGCCATGCAGGCAAAAAAAAGAACTGAGGATGGAGGACGGCGTTGACCGCGGCGCTGGAAAAAATGCTGGTGGAGAACATCTCCACGCCCAGCAGACGCTGAAGCATCCACGATGCCCCGCTATGGCAACCCCAGGTGGGTGTGGCCATGTGGAGGTCCGCTGCATCACCGCGTGCAGCGAGAGCAGGATACTGTATTTCCTTCTAGCGCAATCCTTCAAGCCAGCGGTAGCCGCCGGAGGCATTGCGTTGCGCAAAGCCCCCATCAGCTCTTGGAGACGTTTCCTGCCCTGGAGCAGCACCCGCAGGCTTGTCGATGTGCCGAGGTCAGAATTCAAGGAGGCAAAGGACTGCTCCACGCCACAGCCAAGTATTTGGGAGGTTCCGCATGGATCCGCTATCCCATCTCTGGCTTTGTCCTTACCCTTGGCCTTCCCGCCACTGTCCTGATGAAGCTGGTGGTAATGTTGCTGCGCTTGGTTGGTAGCCCAAGGGCTGGGTCCACGCCTGTTGAAACCCTAAATTTAGAGGCCGCTAGACTCTTGGACCTTGCCACTCTGAAGAATCACAAGCCAATAACATCCCCTGATCCTAAGGCCTCAAGACTCCATGCTGCCGGTTCATAACCTAGTGAGCCCAACAACCTGTTCCCCCTCACCTCGGGAGTTGGGGGTCCGGGGCTGGAGGGGAGGGAACTTGTCCCCAACAGCAGGGGTCTTTCTCGAACGTTCGAGACCGAAGCCCCCCAAATCCCAGGACCTCCAAAAGCCTCGAACCCCAAAACACGAGCCCTCACTCCCAAACCTTGAGCCCCTTTAATCCCCTTAAGCATTCCAAGCCCTGATACACCCAGCTTGATCTACTGGCCCTCAGCCCCAAGACTCCGCCAATCAGCCCGAACCCTAAAGCCTCCAAGCCCTCAACATGCGCATGCCCCGTTTTCAGTCGGGGAAACTTTGACGCTAAGCTAGTTACATGTGCAGACAGTCCCAGAATCTGCAGTGACTTAGCAAAAAACTTTACCTTTACCCCTTGAAGGCGCAGCTTGAAAATATTCACTTTGTGGTGCACATACGGTACTGGACCGTCGCAGGAAATGACATGTGCAATGCAGGAGCTCACGCAGCAAAGGCACTGCAACATGTCCCATCAAAAACGCTTGGAAAAGCGCTGAGGCTCCCCCGATGCGAAGTGAGTGGGTCATGAACCTCCCTGCCAAAAGACCACAGGCCACAGCTGCCTTCTGCAACACATTCTGCGCCTGCGCCCTCTTGAGCACCTGACCATCGGACCACCGAAACAAAGGCTTCAGGGCTTCACTTCCCGCCGTAAACTGCTGTGGCGCCAAAGCTTCCAGCTTCCTCAGGGCTGTGACGACGCAGACCTCGGGGGCTCCAGACAAGTAAAAGGTTTTGCGCTCGCCATCCACCTTCGTTTTGCGGAACTGCAAAGTGACCCCGATGATCTCCTGGTTCGGGCCATCGCCCAAGACAAACTTGATGTCAGCGCCACGGATGATCATCATGAGGTCAACTCCGTTCGAATCGCTGTACTCCTGGCCCTCAGCATGAAGAACCAGGCCGTCTGGGCCGCGCCATTGAGCATCACCCCATCGAAGCCATCCGCAGTGTCGCTCAGCAGCTGTTGGACAAAGGAGCCGATCCACGTCAGCGTGGCCCGCGTCACACCCAGACAGACGCCTTGGCTTCTTCTTCTCGAGAGTGCCAAGGAGCATCCAGAGCCGGAACATGCGCTCAGTTGGGTCTCCCTTTCCCGCTCGTTTATGAGCGTCCTTCACTGCAAAACTGCCTGCTTCAAGGTAGTGACAGAGCATCCAAGCCACCCAAAGTACCCCAAGAAGCCAAGTAACTTGTCCTCGTTCTCCTCGGGAGGGAGCGCCATCCACCCTTGTCTGCGTGCCCAGGCTCGCCATTTGCCGTACGCGCCAGCATACTCTCGCGTCGTGCTCTCGGACAGGTAGCCGGACAGGTTCTCCTCAACCCACTCTTCCGCACGAACACCAACTCTGCCGTCGAAAGGGCAAAGAGGTCCGAGCCTCTCCCAGCGCTGTCCCCGCCTGTCTTCCCAGACTTCTTGCCCTTGCCGCCTGCGTGTCTTTGCGCCTGGTCTCGAGACTCGCCCTCGTCATCACTGGAGTCGTGCCAAGGAGGCACTCCATCCAAACCCAAACCATGCGAGGTCGACGGCCTTCGTGACCGGCAACGTCACCTTCACGGCCTCCTGCACGGTGATCGTCTCCCGAATCGCGTCCTCCTGCACGCCGGCCCTCTCCCGAATCGTTTCGTAGTGGCAGCCATTGGTGTCTGCCTTCGTGGCCGAGAACTTCACCTCCCTGGCCTCCGGCGCGTTGATCAGCCCCTGAATCGTGTCCTCGTGGAAGCAAGCCCCGTCGCCATCGGCAAAGCCACTCAAGCAGCTTGGCCAAGTGCTCATCGCCCAAACGGCCACCACAGCCACCCGCCTTGCACCCAGGCTGATTCACGAGGTAACCTGCCATGACCACCAAAGCCGACGCGACTTGCCCGCCCGTGGCACGACCCCTGTCAACGAGGATCTCCTCCTCCGACCTGCCTTGCCCGAGCAACTCCGAGAAAACCTGTCCGTACGTCGCTGGCATCTCCACACCTCCAACGCGGTCAGCTTACGCATCATGCCCGACGGTCCCCTCTGTTCCCAAACCATGCTAGGTTCCACCCTTTATTCATGTGGCACCCTCAACGGCCACAACAATGGACCACCTGTGCCAACAAGGTTCCTCCTCCTGCCGTCCAACCAGAAATGGCCTTTGATCATCGGCGCCGCCGTCCATGGTGACCTTGACTGGCCCGATCCATCGCTCGTTGTCCGATGCCTTGGTCGCGTCCAAATGGGGGCTCATCGGTGGCGCCAACTTGCTCCTGCGCGTTGTGAACTCCAGCGGGTTCCCGTCCATCTCGCCCGGGGTAGCTACCAAACACACGCGTCTTCGAACTGCTGCCTCGCCAAACTCTGAGGTGACGAACTCCCCGATGTGCACCGACCAACGGTGTGGCTGTACCCTGCCAAGTTACTGCTCGTGGGCCGTCGAAAACCACCATCGCCGCGTCGCCATCTATGGCTGCCTGCCTGATAAATCGAATGGGTGTAAAATTAGACGCCAGTATAATTTACACGCGAAAACGCGTATAATTTTTTACACACGCATTTTTCGCGTGTAAAATTTAGATTTTCCGAGTCTAATTTTTGTAGAGTAATTTTCGGCGTTGAAGGGAAATATAGAATATTTTCTTTTTTGGTCATACGATTTTGTAGTCGTGTAGAAAGACACAGAAACACATTTTGGCATCAATATGGAGGTTTCCTGTTTCCATGTTTGTTGCACTGAAAAGAGAAACGTCAGTCGGTTGGGCGCAGTGGCAGCTGATATAGTTAGTCTACCAAGCACAAAATTTAAAACGAATCGACGATTTTGGTTGAAAGAACATGTGTCTGTTTATAAGCAGAGCAACGAAAATGATGATTTCGTCGAAGTTTGTCATTCGTGTATTTCTCCGGAAAAAGAATCGCAGAAACACATTTCGGCAGCAATGGAGGCGTCTATCTCAAAAATATTTATATGCTGACCTGTAGGCTTGTGAGTGTTCCTGTGAGAGTGTGAGCGGCTGTTCGCAGAGATTGAGCTTTGCGTCTGTGAGCTCTTATATAAAACGCCTGGGCCTCAGATATATGTCGCGACCACACATGTGCTTTGAGCGCAGGCGCTGATTGATGTTTGAACGTGTGGTCTTTCCTGTCATGCTTTCTCATTCAGAGTTGTTCCTGTCAGACCGTGTAGGCAGAAGAAGCAGATGTGTGTGTCCAGGGTTCATGATTCTTGACACCTGCGTTGCACGAGTGGAATTTGTGTTGTGAGCTTGTGCGTACAAAGCAGAACTCACAAACATTACACACAACACTTATAAGCGCAACTGTGTGTACAGTGTTGCGAAGTGCGGCCGCGCGCCATGTCTCGCTTGGAAGCAGTTTTGAACAAGGAACGGGAGGAGAAGCTGCGCGCGCGTGGGCGTAGTCTGTCCTCAAAACGCATCGTTGCCGATCCATCCGTAGCGGTTTCTCAGGTTGTGAGACGGCTCTCTGTTGGAGCACCTGAGGCGGGCGGGGACTCGTGACCCGTGGTCACACTGCTGGTCCCCCCAGCGGACGGACCGAGAGTATGGAGCTTCAAACATCGTCCTTACGCAGCTTGGGTCGCCCGATGCAGCGGCTTGTGTTACGATCTCATTTTCGACATCTGTCCAAACACGAAAATGTTGTCCCGTACCATATTGTCCCGGACGTAGAAGGCTTGCTGAAGGCAGGGCACTGCGTGAACTCGAGTGGCAAAGACGATGCTGCGCTTGCAGCGGCGTCACAGACATCACGCTGGGTATTTTGCTGTCTTGGTTTAGGAAACTGAAGGCAGAGGCCCCAGCCAAGGAAGCAGTGATGAAACGGCTCAGCACCTACGAAAAGACAAAGGCACCTGAGCGGACTCATTTCATTTTGTTGATTTTTGGGTTGTACTTTTGTGTGTAGGATATATATATATAATCACTTTGTAATGGTGGAGACATGGATGTAGATCAAGAGGTTTCTTTGGAGATTTTGCCTGGGAGATCTGCAGCGAGCACGGCAAGCCCTTCACCTGTTCAATGTTTGCTTGAGGAGAAGAAGGCGGCCGATCATGAGTCTAAGGCCAGCAGCTCCTGCAAGAATCTGTCACAAATCTTTGCACGCGTCATGGACGGGGACTTGGATACCTTGAAAGAAGAGCCGGTGCCAGATGTCGAGACGGAGCCTGAGCAGGACAAGGCTGCGGAAGAGTTCATGTCCGAACAAGATCCGTCCACGGAGGGATCATGGATCCAGCGGACTCCGCGGACCGTAGCCCGTAGACATAATCTCCAAGGAGGTAATCCTTGTATTCTCGAACAAGTCCGCGCTGATATCGGCCAGCTCATTGCGGCCAGGGTGCTTTAGCTTGATCATAGCCAGCGCGTTGTACATCACTGTTAGCCGTAGCCGTAGCTGCTCTGGCCCTGTGGGCAGGGCCACGTAGCTGGATCCTTTCTTGACGGACAGGTGTCCTTTAGCGTCCCAACGCGGGACCAGCACGTCCGGATCCACTTCGTCTCGGCTGAGGATCTCCCCCAGCGTCTCGGCACGGAATTCTCCTGCCTCTAGCTCGGCCAATTTCTTCTCGATGTACTCCTTAGCGGGGATACGCTTGTCTTCGGGCTCCCCGAAGGCCTTAGCGAACCTTTGCCGCGTGGCAATATAGTCCGATA